TCCTTCCGGAGCCGGACTTTGTTTTTATTTATTTTTAAATTTTTTTTTTTCAAAAATGACCTTACCTCCAATATCGACTCTGCCTTTAATGGATACCAGGTAAAGTCCTGGGAGATAAAGGCAATCGGCGTGATGTTGATCATATCATCCACCTAGTGCCGATAAGAACTCCATAGGGGAGCAGGCACAGCAGGGGTCCACTGATCATTAGTAGAAAGACCCCTCGTCGACGAGGGTGGGCCGACCTGGCTCAACCAGTAAATTGATCTAGCCCTATGTGCCCAATACGCCTGAAGGCTTGCAAAACGAATTCTTGGTGTTTAGAAAGGTAGATATGTAGGCAGGTAGGTAGTTGTACCCCACCAGGACATCACACAAGCCATAAACACCCGGTGACCCTAGGTGCCACAATGCGGGATCGTCTGTGGAGAGGTCCCAGAAACCCCTTTCAGCCGTTAGGCCATATCTATGCCCCGGCTATATTTAGGGCCCCCGGCAGAAGCCAGGGTGGGACTTGAAACAACAACAAAACTGCATCTCACATGGAGACGACGAATGGTAGGATAATACAATATAGCTTGCAGATAATGAACATGATCTAATACATTGGCTTGCTTCAAACGAATTCCATATACGCTGTAATTGGTTCGGTACAATCTGTAATACATCATAGTTGGATATATTTCACTGATATTAAACGGTGTCTCTTTTTAATTTAAAAAAAAAGACTAAAACGCTGTTTTATGTTGTATTTTTCATTATCACATTTTAACATCTTGGAGCGATGGGGCGGGGGAGGGGGAGGGGCGGCATGTTTACCTCAGTTGATTCCCTTTGTATATTCTTTCTAAATTTCACACTCCGTATTCTAGCATGGCGTTATGATGACATAATCAAGAGATGTCACCATCATGTTATAATGACATAACCAAGAAATGTTACTATTGTGTTATGGTAACACAATCAAAAGATTTTACATTGTGTTATGATGACATAATCAAGAGATGTTACCGTGGTGTTGTGATGAAATAATCAAGAGATGTTACCGTGGTGTTATGATGACATAATCAAGACATGTACTGTCATTTATGATGACATAATCAAGGGATGCACTGTCATTTTATTATGACATAATCAAGAAATGTACTGTCATTTTATGATGACATAATCAAGAGATGTACTGTGATTTTATGATGACATAATCAATAGATGGGCTGTCATTTTATGATGACATAATCAAGAGATGCACTGTCATTTTATGACGACATAATCAAGAGATGTACTGTCATTTTATGATGACATAATCAAGAAATGTTACCGTGGTGTTATGATGACATAATCAAGAGATGTTACCATCGTGTAATGATGACATAATCAAGAGATGTTACCATCCTGTAATGATGACATAATCAAGAGATGTTACCATCGTGTAATGATGGCATAATCAAGAGATGTTACCATCGTGTAATGATGACATAATCAAGAGATGTTACCGTAGTGTAATGATGACATAATCAAAAGATGTTACCATCATGTAATGATGACATAATCAAGAGATGTTACCGTAGTGTAATGATGACATAATCAAGAGATGTTACCATCGTGTAATGATGACATAATCAAGAGATGTTACCATCGTGTAATGATGACATAATCAAGAGATGTTACTGTAGTGTAATGATGACATAATCAAGAGATGTTACCGTAGTGTAATGATGACATAATCAAGAGATGTTACCATCGTGCAATGATGACATAATCAAGAGATGTTACCGTAGTGTAATGATGACATAATCAAGAGATGTTACCATCGTGTAATGATGACATAATCAAGAGATGTTACCGTAGTGTAATGATGACATAATCAAGAGATGTTACCGTAGTGTAATGATGACATAATCAAGAGATGTTACCATTGTGTAATGATGACATAATCAAGAGATGTTACCATCCTGTAATGATGACATAATCAAGAGATGTTACCATCGTGTAATGATGACATAATCAAGAGATGTTACCATCGTGTAATGATGACATAATCAAGAGATGTTACCATCATGTAATGATGACACAATCAAGAGATGTTACCATCATGTAATGATGACATAAACAAGAGATGTTACCATCGTGTAATGATGACATAAACAAGAGATGTTACCATCATGTAATGATGACATAATCAAGAGATGTTACTATCGTGTAATGATGACATAATCAAGAGATGTTACCATCGTGTAATGATGACATAATCAAGAGATGTTACCGTAGTGTAATGATGACATAATCAAGAGATGTTACCATCGTGTAATGATGACATAATCAAGAGATGTTACCGTAGTGTAATGATGACATAATCAAGAGATGTTACCATCGTGTAATGATGACATAATCAAGAGATGTTACCGTAGTGTAATGATGACATAATCAAGAGATGTTACCATTGTGTAATGATGACATAATCAAGAGATGTTACCGTAGTGTAATGATGACATAATCAAGAGATGTTACCATTGTGTAATGATGACATAATCAAGAGATGTTACCGTAGTGTAATGATGACATAATCAAGAGATGTTACCATTGTGTAATGATGACATAATCAAGAGATGTTACCATCCTGTAATGATGACATAATCAAGAGATGTTACCGTAGTGTAATGATGACATAATCAAGAGATGTTACCATCGTGTAATGATGACATAATCAAGAGATGTTACCATCGTGTAATGATGACATAATCAAGAGATGTTACCATCGTGTAATGATGACATAATCAAGAGATGTTACCATCCTGTAATGATGACATAATCAAGAGAGACCATGTTAATCAAGAGATGATAACATCCTGTAATGATGACATAATCAAGAGATGTTACCATCGTGTAATGATGACATAATCAAGAGATGTTACCATCATGTAATGATGACATAATCAAGAGATGTTACCATCATGTAATGATGACACAATCAAGAGATGTTACCATCATGTAATGATGACATAATCAAGAGATGTTACCATCCTGTAATGATGACATAATCAAGAGATGTTACCATCGTGTAATGATGACATAATCAAGAGATGTTATGATCGTGTAATGATGACATAATCAAGAGATGTTACCATCGTGTAATGATGACATAATCAAGAGATGTTACCATCCTGTAATGATGACATAATCAAGAGATGTTACCATCCTGTAATGATGACATAATCAAGAGATGTTACCATCGTGTAATGATGACATAAACAAGAGATGTTACCATCGTGTAATGATGGCATAATCAAGAGATGTTACCATCGTGTAATGATGACATAATCAAGAGATGTTACCGTAGTGTAATGATGACATAATCAAAAGATGTTACCATCATGTAATGATGACATAATCAAGAGATGTTACCATCGTGTAATGATGACATAATCAAGAGATGTTACCATCGTGTAATGATGACATAATCAAGAGATGTTATAGTGTAATGATGATAATCAAGAGATGTTACCGTAATGATGACATAATCAAGAGATGTTGTAATGATGACATACAAGAGATGTTACCGTAGTGTAATGATGACATAATCAAGAGATGTTACCATCGTGTAATGATGACATAATCAAGAGATGTGTAGTGTAATGATGACATAATCAAGAGATGTTACCATCGTGTAATGATGACATAATCAAGAGATGTTACCGTAGTGTAATGATGACATAATCAAGAGATGTTACCGTAGTGTAATGATGACATAATCAAGAGATGTTACCATCGTGTAATGATGACATAATCAAGAGATGTTACCATCCTGTAATGATGGACATAATCAAGAGATGTTACCATCGTGTAATGATGACATAATCAAGAGATGTTACCATCGTGTAATGATGACATAATCAAGAGATGTTACCATCAATGTAATGATGACACAATACCATCATGTAATGATGACATAAACAAGAGATGTTACCATCGTGTAATGATGACATAAACAAGAGATGTTACCATCATGTAATGATGACATAATCAAGAGATGTTACTATCGTGTAATGATGACATAATCAAGAGATGTTACCATCCTGTAATGATGACATAATCAAGAGATGTTACCGTTAGTGTAATGATGACATAATCAAGAGATGTTACCATCGTGTAATGATGACATAATCAAGAGATGTTACCGTAGTGTAATGATGACATAATCAAGAGATGTTACCATCGTGTAATGATGACATAATCAAGAGATGTTACCGTAGTGTAATGATGACATAATCAAGAGATGTTACCATTGTGTAATGATGACATAATCAAGAGATGTTACCGTAGTGTAATGATGACATAATCAAGAGATGTTACCATTGTGTAATGATGACATAATCAAGAGATGTTACCGTAGTGTAATGATGACATAATCAAGAGATGTTACCATTGTGTAATGATGACATAATCAAGAGATGTTACCATCCTGTAATGATGACATAATCAAGAGATGTTACCATCGTGTAATGATGACATAATCAAGAGATGTTACCATCGTGTAATGATGACATAATCAAGAGATGTTACCATCATGTAATGATGACACAATCAAGAGATGTTACCATCATGTAATGATGACATAAACAAGAGATGTTACCATCGTGTAATGATGACATAAACAAGAGATGTTACCATCATGTAATGATGACATAATCAAGAGATGTTACTATCGTGTAATGATGACATAATCAAGAGATGTTACCATCGTGTAATGATGACATAATCAAGAGATGTTACCATCGTGTAATGATGACATAATCAAGAGATGTTACCATCGTGTAATGATGACATAATCAAGAGATGTTACCATCGTGTAATGATACATAATCAAGAGATGTTACCATCGTGTAATGATGACATAATCAAGAGATGTTACCATCGTGTAATGATGACATAATCAAGAGATGTTACCATCGTGTAATGATGACATAATCAAGAGATGTTACCGTAGTGTAATGATGACATAATCAAGAGATGTTACCATGGTGTTCTAGAAAGCTGATAGAAGACCTACCAGCTAAGGAAGGATGGAGTTGAGCCGCCATTGTTTCGTTCTCTACACAACCATCAAGGGACATCAACTGGGTCTCTGTATGGGTCTCTGTATGGGTCCCTGTATGTTTCTTCACAAACTTCTTCAGCTTGGTCTTGATAGTGGCTGACGACCTTGATCCCGAAAGACTGTTGCTGAAAGCCTCTGGGGGTCTCCTGAGGAACATTTGTGCGAAGATTTCTCGAAACTTTCTCCCGCTGGCGCAGTAGCAGGCGAAGTTGCAGGCGGCGTTGACGATGACAAACGTATCTGCCACAGCGGTGAATCTCAAAGAGGGAAAAACACAATTGAAGAAATAGCTCTTACATTCTTTCACAGGTACTGGCACTCGAAGAATTTGAGAACGTTTTCAGATTATATGATACACTATACAAAATAATGAAATTGACATTGTTTGGTGTACTAGATATCAAAATATTTTACGCTTGGTACTAGATATCAACATATTTGAGGTGTGGTACTAGATATCAACATATTTGACGTGTGGTACTAGACATCAACATATTTGACGTGTGGTACTAGATATCAACATATTTGACGTGCGCTACTAGATATCAACATATTTGACGTGTGGTACTAGATATCAACATATTTGACGTGCGCTACTAGATATCAACATATTTGACGTGTGGTACTAGATATCAACATATTTGACGTGTGGTACTAGATATCAACATATTTGACGTGCGCTACTAGATATCAACATATTTGACGTGCGCTACTAGATATCAACATATTTGACGTGCGCTACTAGATATCAACATATTTGACGAGTGGTACTAGATATCAACATATTTGACGTGCGCTACTAGATATCAACATATTTGACGTGTGGTACTAGATATCAACATATTTGAGGTGTGGTACTAGATATCAACATATTTGACGAGTGGTACTAGATATCAACATATTTGACGAGTGGTACTAGATATCAACATATTTGACGTGTGGTACTAGATATCAACATATTTGACGTGTGGTACTAGATATCAACATATTTGAGGTGTGGTACTAGATATCAACATATTTGACGTGTGGTACTAGATATCAACATATTTGACGTGCGCTACTAGATATCAACATATTTGACGAGTTTTACTAGATATCAACATATTTGACGTGTGGTACTAGATATCAACATATTTGACGAGTGGTACTAGATATCAACATATTTGACGAGTGGTACTAGATATCAACATATTTGACGTGTGGTACTAGATATCAACATATTTGACGTGTGGTACTAGATATCAACATATTTGACGAGTGGTACTAGATATCAACATATTTGACGTGTGCTACTAGATATCAACATATTTGACGTGTGGTACTAGATATCAACATATTTGACGAGTGGTACTAGATATCAACATATGGTGGAGGAGATGAGACATTTAGTGCTAGATATCAACATATGGTGGAGGAGACGAGACATGTAGTACTAGATATCAACATATGGTGGAGGAGATGAGACATTTAGTGCTAGATATCAACATATGGTGGAGGAGACGAGAGATGTAGTACTAGATATCCACATATGGTGGAGGAGATAAGACATGTAGTACTAGATATCAACATATGGTGGAGGAGACGAGACATGTAGTACTAGATATCAACATATGGTGGAGGAGACGAGACATGTAGTACTAAATATCAACATATGGTGAAGGAGATAAGACATGTAGTACTAGATATCAACATATGGTGGAGGAGACGAGACATGTAGTACTAGATATCAACATATGGTGGAGGAGATGAGACATTTAGTGCTAGATATCATATGGTGGAGGAGACGAGAGATGTAGTACTAGATATCCACATATGGTGGAGGTGATGAGACATGTAGTACTAGATATCAACATATGGTGGAGGAGATGAGACATGTAGTACTAGATATCAACATTTGGTGGAGAAGTCGAAACATGTAGTACTAGATATCAACATATGGTGGAGAAGATGAGACATGTAGTACTAGATATCAACATATGGTGGAGGAGATGAGACATGTAGTACTAGATATCAACATATGGTGGAGGAGATAAGACATGTAGTACTAGATATCAACATATGGTGAAGGAGATGAGACATTTAGTACTAGATATCAACATATGGTGGAGGAGATGAGACATGTAGTACTAGATATCAACATATGGTGGAGGAGATGAGACATTTAGTACTAGATATCAACATATGGTGGAGGAGACGAGACATGTAGTACTAGATATCAACATATGGTGGAGGAGATGAGACATGTAGTACTAGATATCAACATATGGTGGAGGAGATGAGACATGTAGTTCTAGATATCAACATATGGTGGAGGAGATGAGACATGCAGTACTAGATATCAACATATGGTGGAGGAGATGAGACATGTAGTACTAGATATCAACATATGATGGAAGAGACGTGATATGTAGTACTAGATATCCACATATGGTGGAGGAGACGTGACATTTAGTACTAGATATCCGCATATGATGGAGGAGACGAGACATGTAGTACTAGATATCAACATATGATAGAGGAGATTAGACATGTAGAACTAGATATCAACATATGATGGAGGAGACGTGACATGTAGTACTCGATATGAGCACACAAGACGTGTAGGTACTAGGTATCATAAGTTTCCATTTACATGAAAATGAACATATCACCAACGAAACTGAGGGAGCGAGTAAGTAACTACGTGACTGAGTGACTAAGTGAGTGGGTAAGTGAGTGTGTGAGTCAGTCAGTCAGTCAGTCAGTGTGACACAAAGTGCCACCATTCAGCCGATAATCCCCCAGAAGCAAAACATAGAAACCCTATTCAACCGTTAGCTTAAATTAAGGCCCCAACTACAGCCGGGCTGGGGCTTTACAATAACCACAAAAGGCGTCCCATATTGGTGCGAAGTCACAACATCATGGCGAGCTTAACTACAACTGGTGTTCTCTAGCAGTTGAGCACACATATGTGTTTCCAAAACAATGCTACTGCTCCTTTGAAAGGAAGCCAGTAATTAAAACGTTGGTCTCCCCCACGAAAAGTAGGTCAATTACATTGATAAGTTTGTTGGGCTAGTCTATTGTGGTCAAGGTTATAGGTGTGGTGGTATGTTGTTCTGTTGCATCTACGTTTTTTTTTTTTCTTCAGAGAAAGAGACTGCTTGTGACACGTTTCATCACTCTCTAGGGGAGTTGTGTGTTAGACCCATTTTCTAAATGTTTTAGGAGTGTTGAAAACTCTGGCATGGTGAAATATACAACGTGCGGTATCGACGGCATTGCGGAACAGCCCGTCACCTTGTTTGAAAGGCGGATGGCTCGAGGCCGAAGTGAGGTGGGCTGAAGGTCGACCAATCATAAGCGAGCTACTGTATACGGCCGAATAGGGGCATTATCTTTTATGAATAGTTGAGAGTGGCTCAGTCAGAGACGATCATCAGCACGTGCTTTGCTGTAAGACTGGTATGGGCGAATAGTATGCCTCGCCCAATACGAATCTGCGATCTCGAATACGCAGCATGTATCGTCATCATTCAGTGTTTGCTGACACACCTCCGATTATTCCATCGCAACAAGACTCTCAGCATGTATCTTTCTCTTCTTCTATCCCTCCTTTCCACATATCTCTCTCTCCAGTGGTCACCACATGTTCCATTTTCCCTCATCTTATAACATGGCCGAAAAAGGATGACTGTCTCCTTCTAATGTCTGTGAGGAGTTGTCTTCGGACTCCCGCCTCTATCAAGACTTCTAGGTTTTTTTTTTTTTTTTTCTGTCCAGTATATTTTAAGCATTGTTCTGTAATACCACATCTCTGTGCACCACTCGCGTCGGTTCGATGTTCATTCACTAGTCTTCTTGTAGTGAGCACTGCCCGACCCAGTTCATTGCTGGTTTACCAACCTGATTGTAGTAAGCACCGCTCGCCCCAGTCTGATGTTCGTGGTCTTCTTGTAGTGAGAGCACCGCTCGCCCCAGTTCGATGTTCGTTCACCAGTCACCGCTCGCCCCAGTCTGATGTTCGTTCACCAGTCTTCTTGTAGTGAGCACCGTTCGCCCCAGTCTGATGCTCGTTCACCAGTCTTCTTGTAGTGAGAGCACTGCTCGCCCCAGTCTGATGCTCGTTCACTGTCTTCTTGTAGTGAGAGCACCGATGGCCCCAGTTCGACGTTCGTTCACCAGTCTTCTTGTAGTGAGAGCACCGCTCGCCCCAGTTCGCGTTCACCAGTCTTCTTGTAGTGAGAGCACCGATCCCCAGTTCGACGTTCGTTCACCAGTCTTCTTGTAGTGAGAGCACCGCTCGCCCCAGTTCGATGTTCGTTCACCAGTCTTCTTGTAGTGAGCACCGCTCGCCCCAGTCTGATGTTCGTTCACCAGTCTTCTTGTAGTGAGAGCACCGCTCGCCCTAGTTCGATGTTCGTTCACCAGTCTTATTGTAGTTAGCACCGCTCGCCCCAGTCTGATGTTCGTTCACCAGTCTTCTTGTAGTGAGAGCACCGTTCGCCCCAGTCTGATGCTCGTTCACCAGTCTTCTTGTAGTGAGAGCACCGCTCGCCCCAGTCTGATGCTCGTTCACCAGTCTTCTTGTAGTGAGCACCGCTCGCCCCAGTTCGATGTTTGTTCACCAGTCTTCTTGTAGTGAGAGCACCGCTCGCCCCAGTTCGATGTTCGTTCACCAGTCTTCTTGTAGTTAGCACCGCTCGCCCCAGTCTGATGTTCGTTCACCAGTCTTCTTGTAGTGAGCACCGTTCGCCCCAGTCTGATGCTCGTTCACCAGTCTTCTTGTAGTGAGAGCACCGCTCGCCCCAGTCTGATGCTCGTTCACCAGTCTTCTTGTAGTTAGCACCGCTGGCCCCAGTTCGACGTTCGTTCACCAGTCTTCTTGTAGTGAGAGCACCGCTCGCCCCAGTTCGATGTTCGTTTACCAGTCTTCTTGTAGTTAGCACCGCTGGCCCCAGTTCGATGTTCGTTCACCAGTCTTCTTGTAGTTAGCACCGCTCGCCCCAGTTCGATGTTCGTTCACTATGCAGGATATTTTAAGCATTGTTCTGTAATACCACATCTCTGAGGCATCAAGAAATTGTTTGGCCTACCTACCGATTGTCCAGGACTTACAGCCATTTGTTAAATTTGGATGTATGTAGCAAGCTAGAATTATTTTTCTACCCTTCAGTGACAAAGACATTTTCTATAATTTGTTCTTTATTTTATAAAATGAGTTTGTGCCTGTCCTATTCTGTTTCTGTTTCAGTAATGCATCTTCCATCTGATG